GAGCCCATATACGCACCTGCATGTGTGGACGCGAGTATTAACTAAGATGAGCGCCCACGCATGAGGATGCGCGTCTGCGTCCAGGTAGCCCAGAAGATACGCGTCTTCGTGTCTGGGCGCTTATCTTGAGTAAGGCTCGCGCCTACCTGTGTAGCTGCGTATCTTGAGATGAGCGCCCACGCTTGTGGCGCCTATCTTAGCTAGTACTCGCGGTGTCGGCGTGGGTGCGTGGCGGTCAGCATACGCTCCCACACATGCAGACGCGAATATTAGTCAATATGAGCGCTCACAAGTGCAGGCGCGTATGTTGACACACGCACCTGCGCATATGGCGCTCAAAAGTGAATAGTTTTGGGTGATACGCGCTCAAGTCGCCTGTGTCATCTGTCCCTGGCTTGCTGGGCGCTGCTTTATGGCGGATCTCCTTGATGCCGCGGAGGATGATGCCGGCGCCGAGGTGCCCGCGGCGGCCGGGTAGCGAAGCGTTCAAAACCACATGGCGGTCAGCAACATCGAGTGGAAAGACGTGGCGACGGTCGTCGAGCCAGCCGTGGCCAAGTGTCTCAACCCCGGCCTGCGCGAGAGGAGGACTTGACGGAGGAGGCCGCACCTTCTTTGTCGTCCGCAAGCGCCCCGAGGGGGCCGCCGTGAAGTATTGGCGCTCATCTCAAGATACGCAGCTACACGTGTAGGCGCGAGCCTTACTCAAGATAAGCGCCCAGACACGAAGACGCGTATCTGGGCTACCTGGACGCAGACGCGCATCCTCATGCGTGGGCGCTCATCTTAGTTTATACTCGCGTCCACACATGCAGGTGCGTATATGGGCTCGGTGCACATGAGCACTTACACGTCAGGGCGCGAGCCTTAGCTAAGATACGCGCCTACACGTGTCGGTGGTCATTTTTGACCCACTTTCCGGGGTTTGCCCGTTGTGCGTTTACGTGAACATCGCCGGGGCTCGGTTCTTGCGGACCACGCTCACGCTGCTCCTCCCTGGGTCTCTTCCCACAGGAGCAGCTGTGAAGCGGCTGTTGCTGTCTCTCCCTTCTCGACTGTCTGTGCTTGCTTGTGCGTCTTGGGCCCGGCGTTGTGTTTTTGTGTGGGCGGCTGCGGCAATAGCACAGAGACGCGGGCAATATACATGCGCATGGTCGATTACCCCGCCGCCCTCCGGCCCGACCGCGTCACCGTGATCGCATACGGAGCGCTGCTCTCCGAGCCCTCATCGCGGCTCACCTTCCCTTCCCTCACCAACTTTCGCCTCGTGAGAGTGCGCAACGTGCGCCGTCTGTTTGGGATGACGCACCTATTTCTAACCGGCGCTGGAGTGGTGGACGTTGCCACCCGCAGGCGTCTGCGCGCTCTGTTTTTCCACACGCGTCCACCATCACCTCTGACCTCGTCCGCCGCGCCGCAGGATCGCCGCGCTCTGCGTGGAGCCGGCGGAGGGGTGCTCCTTTGTCGCGGCCGCGTTTGACGTGGTGCTCGACGATGCGCAGCGCGAGGCCTTCTGCGCCAGAGAGACGGGCTACGCGATCGTCGAGGCGCCCTTTCACGGCCTGGATGCTGGCGAGGAGGTGCTTGACGGCCCAACTAAGCCCCTTTCCCTCCCATTAGCAGCTTGTCCGTCGTCCACTTATTTATTTATCACGAAGTCACGTTACCACCACTTCAGCCTCTCTATCGCACTTGGACAGCACAAGAGTCCACCTTGCGCAGGCGCCGCCGGCCGGGCTCGGCGTTCTTTGCGCCTCGAGCAGCGACGCGGAGCTTCCCTCTGGCGTCGAGCCTCCCGCAGGCCTGCCGCCGCGCGCCGGGAGTTGAGACGCCCCGGCCACGTCCCTCACGGGCAGACGCACGCGCCGCGAGTAGGCCTGCCCCACGTGTGGGGGTGGGCGCGCGATTCGGGCCTGCTGCCGGCCGACGTCTATCTGCGCCACTGTCTGCTAGCGATGCGCAAGCTGGGCGGCGTGGCGGAGCGATCCTTCCTGCACGACACGACGCTCGTCGACAGGCGAGCGCGCCGTGGACGAGAGAGCACGGCCTGCCCACACCGGCACGCGGCCAAGCGACGGAGCGGTGCGTCCCGATAGGCGCACCACGCTGAGCGAGTACCTCGCCGGCGGCGCACGCGAGCGCGTGATGGCCGTGCGCCCGCCAGAGTCGATGGCGGAGAGGTTCGGAGGTTAGACTTAGAGCTCTAGAGCTCGGGGTCCGGCTCGCCACTTGGGACATTTGGAGCCATTGGGCACTTGGAGCACTTGGAGTGCAGTCATTAGCCTCACATCCAGGGCCAGGGGGCTAAGAAGCACACCCAGCGGTCCGGATGATCGGGAAATAAATAAATAAACAAAGGAATAAATAAAAACGGTCAAACCGCTCTGAGACGAGATGGGATTTAGGGACATGTGTCCCCGCGCTGCACGATCTTGGTGTGAGGGATCTTCAATCCGTCCCCTCACCCCCCTGGTCCGACTACCCGACACTAGAAGAGCAGTGCAAGAGTTGGGGCTACGGCTACGGCTGCGGCTGCGGGAGGGGCTATGGTTGCGGGAGAGCCGCTGCGCCGCGTGGGCGCGCCTACACCGCGCTTGCTCCGCTCGCCACCTCTCGCAAAGGTCCAAAGTCATAGCCATCACCTCCTCCGGCAAGATAGTCCTTTTCGCCTATCTCGCCGTCCCTCCATGCCTGGTAGAGCTCGTCGTCATAGCCATATTGCATCACAGCCTGCTGCACTGCGTCGTGCACAACCCCTGCCACCCTATCCCGCGCCTCAGCGTCGGAAAATTCGAGCTCGGAGTCATACCCGGAAGCAGGCGCAGGCGGCCGCGGCGATTTGCAGGCGGCGAGGTGGGGGAGGGAGAGCGCGGCGGTGCGCGCTCGGTGCTCCCGCTGGTGCCAGAAGGGCCAGCGCCCAATGCCCTCAGCCTGTTCTTGTCCACCACCTTGGGAGAAGGGGGTGGGGGTCCACCTCCCTTGGGTGCGGGCTTGCGGTGTTCCTGCTTCCGCTTGCCCGACTTTCGCGGGTTGCGGCCGAAGTTCTTCATGGTGAACCTGTCCGGCTTGCCGCCCTTCCCGACCCTCGTCCACCCCTCGGGCGACTCGTTGGGCCGGGGTTGCTGCGCCTGTTGGTGCTGCGAGTGTGCCTGCGATGCTGCGGCCGGAGCGGCAGCGGCGGCAGGCGGTGCCTCGGGCGGTGCCGCGGCGAAAGTGGCGGTAGGCTGAGGCTGCGCAGCGTCCTGCGCGGCCCGCTGCCTGGCCTCATCCTCCCGCCTCTTCTCAGACTTGGCCTGGATGATGTACTGATACCCAAGCGGCACCGGGTTGATGCTGACGGAGTGCCAACCGTACCTCTCCATGCGCTCCGCGAGACAATCAATCATCGCGTGGTCGCGTGGCGACACCTCTTCTGGCCGAGGACGCGCTCGACCATCCGGATCTGACGCACGTGGAACGGGTCATTGGTCTTCTCTTTTTTTCTCGTCTGCTACACGGCCACGCAGCTCGCCTCCGCGCGCCGGCAGCTCACCCTCCTCTGGGCCGAGCCCGTCTCCGAGGCCGTCCTCGTCGCCTTCAACGCCGAGGCGGACGCGTACAACTCGCGGCGCCCACAGGCCATGACAGGTGCTCGCTGCACGGCATCACACGTGAACGGCGTGCAGGTGCCGGGTCGACCGCGCCGACCGGCCGACGGCCCCAAGCCAGCGCCGACCGTCGTCCAGGAGGGCGCCGTGGTCGAGTTGAGTTCGGAGGGCTCCTGCAGCCCTCAGCCGCGGCCCCCAGTTTTTCTTCTTTCGTTGTGCCTCGTATGTATGCTTGAAACAAACGCAGGGCAGCGCAAGCCCGGCCTGTTATTGAGAAGAAATACACCAAATGTGTTCACAGAAGGGTGGTAAGAGACACAAGAGAACCTCGCATACGACGACAGTGAGGGTGTGAGAGACAAACCCAGGGAAGGTCTTACACTACCTTACAGCTTCACAGACATACAACTGTAGTGTTGCCCTGGCCTTCTGTCTGCCCGCCCAATGGGTGGCAGGTGCCAGAGTGTCGGCGGACAGCCGGCAGCAAGAAACCGCAGTGAGGTCAGTGTGAGTGAGCGGAGTTTTTGTGTGAGTGAGCGGACCGCCACTGCTGTACAAGACTCTAAAAGTCCGACGATGTGAAGACGACATTTCATCTCAACGAGGGGCACGTCACCGACATGTGTGAGATCGGCGGAGACCTGCAGTCCCAGCGCGATGTCCACTACGAAATCAAGGTGCCTAGCGCCCTCACAAAGACGAGGCAGGCTGGGCAGGGCTCGGCGGCACACGGCGGATGCTGTGCGTCACTGGGCCACAAATTTGGTTTCGGCGGCACCCTCGACCAAACCTTGCTCAAGGGTCTTGGGTGCAAAGAGCGCGGCCACAAGTCACAAGGGCCCGCTCGTCCATATGCGACCGGCAAAGGCTGGGTCAAAGAGCACAAGGGACAGTACTACAACGCGCTCCATGTCAAGAACGGAATCGTCAAAATTTGTCTCGTCGAAAGCCAGGGCGGCATCGCGCCGCCGACCAAGAGAATTATCTTCAACTTCGCCAAAGAGGTCGGCAGCCCGAGCGCCGTCGACCGCACCGACTACGGCACAGCCTCCGGCAGCGCCCGGGGCTTCGCCCAGCACCACTCGCAACAGCTCTCGCGCGCCGCCGTCTGTGGCGACGCGCAAAACATCAACAACGCTGCTCGCAACATGCGTGTCGCGCACTCATTCATGACCGGTCTCAATGCCCCCACCCCCCTGCGCGCGGGCCTTCTAGGCCCGCGGGTAGTCTCCCCCCATCCCCAGGGCCTCCAGGGCTCGCACCTCAACCTCGCATAGACCAGCGCACAGCGCCAGGGACGTATTTCCTTCTCAATAACAAGGCTGTGAACGGGCCGTCACCACACAGCGATGGAAAGCAGTCGCGGCAAGAAAGGCCACGGCGAGTATTTTCTTCTCGATACAAGGCTCTCCGATGTGCGTGTCTGTGGTGGGCCAGCCTCGGGGTCAGCTCGCTGACCTGCTCGAAGCTGGCGGCGACGTGCAGCAGCTCGCCGCGCTCGCGCAGTCCGGACAGCGCAGCGAGCTCTCTGCCGCGCTGGTCGCTCTCGGCTTCACCAAGCTCGGCCAGCGGATGCGGGTCGAGCGCGCCCTGCTCGCAGCTCCGCCTGCGGTGCCAGAGGTGGACAGTGCCGCCTTCTGGCTGGGCGTGGCCGACTCGAGTGCTCGCGCCGTGGACGGATCTGCGCCCAGCTGCAACTACGAGGCGCACGCCGCTGCAGTCGCGGCCCAGGCCTCCGAGGCGAGGCGGAGGGAAGCTGCCGCTGCGGAGGCTCACGCCGAGGCGGCGGCGGCGGCGGCGGCGGCGCGGGAGGCGGATACGGCGTGGCGGACGGACGGCGGCGTTGCGACCGCGCTGCGAAGCGGATTTCTCGCCGACGCCGGCGACGAGCTCGCCTCCGTCCGAGGCGCGTCCGGCGTCTCTGTCGCTCCAAAGACCGGAGGGCGGAGGGAGGCGAGCAGCAGCCGAGGGCGACTGTCTCCTCGCCTCGACACTGCCCCATACCCGCAGCCCTGCTCCTGACCCTAGGCGCGGGCAGAGGCGGCGGCGGCGGCGAACGCGGAGGCGCGGCGCGAGGCTGCGGCGGAGGCGCGCACGCTTCCCTTTCTGATGCCGAGCG